CCCCGCGCCATCTTCTCTTCAAGCCTGTCTCCTCCTCTCTTTCTTCATAGGGCAGTCCCATCACTTTCCCTTTCTTCCTGTGCTTTTCTTTTTTTAGCCTCTCTCCCTCATCTTCTCAGTTAACTCTGTTTCTAACTTGTCTTTCTCTAGCCAGTCATTCCCAATTTATCGGCTTGGTTTGATTGTTCTCTTTTCAGGACATCTCTGGTTCATATTATCTACATTTCTTATGTGTTACATGCTGTTATTTCTATGGTGTATCATTTTTTTATGTGTTCGATTATCTTGCCTAACATCCTCATTCTATAGATGAGGAAACTGAGCCCCAGAATGAAAATGGGCTTTGCCTTGCCCCCCTCACAGAACTCATGATAAGCTTTCACTAAATGCTAGTCCTGGAGCAAGGGCGGGGGGAGTTGTGTGTGAGAAAGAGGGGAGAGAGCTCCTTTGAAAATTTACTTCTGTCTTCCAATTTCCAAATGCAACTCCTGTTTTCCTTTTTTCCCACGTATCCTTTCTCTTTTACTTTCTTCTTTCCTCCTGCTTTTACTGTTTTCTTTCTTATTGCTCTGCCTTTGTGTCCAGAGTAGTATTTGAGGAGGAGGAGGAGATTGGGGGGTCTTGGGTTCATTCAATGTAAACACTCTTCTCTCCATTTTAAACCTGTCTTGTCAAACCCTGATCACTGAAGACCTCTCTGTGAGTCTCGGGAATCGTTACTGCCTTTGAAATTGAACCGTACCAGGTAGTTAATATTACACAGAGTTTCCAGAATTTAAATTCTGAGATGAGGTTAAGGATTGGCTTCATTCTTACTGGAAAAGAGATCTCCCGAGTGATCTCTCTGAGGCTTTGAAATTCATGAGAATTCAGTGTACCTATGGAGTAAGTTGCCAGGAAGGGCAACATAAAGAAAAAGACTGAGTAAGTCATTAACAGCATTTCTTGAACAGCCACTATGGTCCCGTTGAAGAGATGTTAATAAAGCTGGAGTTTATTAAGAGACAAATGGTGATAAAGCAATTGGCAAGGAAACAGAAGGGAGCCACCGATTTCAATAAAATGTCAATGGGGTTTCAACATGTACATTATTTCCTTAACATTTTTCACATGTCTCTATAGCTGTGGTTGATTTGCTTCAAGAATTAACAGATATAGACACCCTTCATGAGAGTGAAGAGGGTGCAGAAGTGCTCATCGACGCCCTGGTAAGTCTGGGTTCTGTTGAAGTACTGGGACTAGCTTTGGGAGTGGCATCAGGTAGAGATAAATGGTAAGGGATCTGTAAGTTAGGCTGAACGGTGAGATTCAAAAAGTAAAATATAACTTGGGTGCTTTGGTCTTTGGGACTGTGTTGGGTGAGGAACTGCAGAAGCCTGGTATTTATTAACTACATGTTGGAGGCAAGTCTTTTCTTTTTATTCCATTTAATCTTTACCACACCCTCCCAGCAGATTGTTGTTGTTGCCATTTGCATTTTACAGCTATGAAGCCGAAAGTCAGAGAGGTGAACAATTTGCCTGTATTCATGCAGCAGGAACTTAAACTTGTGTTATTTTTGACTCCTTGTTCCTGTTCTTTATCTTCCTGATGAGGCAGCTCTGGTGGCTTAGTGTAGTCAACCTGGTTCAGCTCCACCCGCTGCTCTGTGGGAGAAAGATGGGCAGTCTCCTCCCGGGCAATTCATTGCTGCTGAAAGCCCACTGGAAAGTCAGCTGTGAGTTGGTTCCGACACAACGATACATAATAACAACAACATCCTCCTCCTCCTAATGTATCGTTGTAAAGATCTTTTTGTAAAGAGCTTTTACAAGTCCATTAGTCCCCTAGTTTGAATTTTATAATTCAAGGGATCAGACAGGGTCAGATTTGTAGTCATAGAATAATCAGAACATAGAAAGTGAGAATTAACTTTATAGCCTAGGACAGAATTGCATTTCCTGCCCGTAGAAGACAGGGCCAGTTGGGCTGATGACACAGTGACTTCTCGGCCAGTCTGTCTAACGATGGAGATTAGAGTGTATTCTGAACCTCACCACGGTCCTGTTCCTCCCACACTAATGTCCTTGTCATCGCTGTTGGAGAGAGAAAGGGCTCTTCCCAGGGAACTGTGGCTGGCCAGTGGCAAAAGTGGTTTTGATCCCGGACATGTCCTGTGAAGTCTTGGCCGTCCACCAATCCACCTCCCTCCTCAAGACTCTGTTCATTTCGTTTCCTCCGTCTTGTCTCTTCTCTCTAGCATGAATGTTAGTAAGTCCGGGTTTTGATGCACTTTGCAGAGGCGTCAAAGAATATTGAAGGTGCCGAAGCACCTGGCCCCACCGAGGACTTTTCAGATCAGAAACAACGTCACTCTGACCCCAAATGATCCCGGAGCCCACTAAAGTATGAGGCCGCCCTGCTGTGCTGCCTACCCCCGGCACCCTTTCTCTATATAAAATTTTGGCACTAAGAGAGTTCCCATGCGCCATGGCCACTGCTGGCGTTTGGTGTGAATGAAGGGGTTATGAACCCACTGGATATGAAGAACTATCTCCTACAGAACACGAGGCTGGAGTCCAGCAGGGCCATTTGTGCCTGATTGTGATGAAAATGTCGATGGCCGTCTTTCTTTCAAGCTCCCTCCTAGAGAGAACTGCCACTTTTATAGAATTCTGCACCTTTGTATTTCCTTTGAACAGCTGTGCTGAAAGAAAAGGATGATGTTGGGGTGTCTGTCTGTTTTGAGGAGCATCTGAAGGCAGACTGGGGCACTTGTTCCTTCCTTGTGTCCCCACAGTGCCATTTGCACGGTCTTACCTTCCAGAGGTTAATTACAGTGGCCCCGATTGACGCTTCCTGCCTGCTCCCTGGGCTGATTTTAATTACCAGCCTTTGCCTGTATGAATAGAGGAGACAGAAGAGAGACAACAGCTAGCCTGGCTGATGCTTGTAAAACGTACCCAGAAACAGCAGTTCACACAAAGTCCCTTTTGTATTTTCCATGTTGCCAAGCCCACCAACAAAAGATGGATCTTACAGATTTTATTGTTTGTTTGAGGGGCAAAACCCAAACCCAGTTTGTCCTCAGTCTAGGGAGCCATTAAGTAGTTGCTATGTAGGGGTTTTTAGTTGTTTTATTTAGAGTTTTATTATCATTACTGTTTTAAGATTTTGATTCATAGCTTCATACCGGCGGGGATGATGTGAATCACAAACAATTGAGCATTTCTGGGCTGCAGTATATTATTTGCTTGTCTGCAACCAGTCAGAAGCCATCAGTAAATATCAGAGGTCAGAGCAAGTGGGTGGTCTTCCATTTCTTTTTTTACTACCTTTGTGCTGTGTTCGGGAAGAAATTTGATAAGTATTCTCAATATTACAAGGGTTGAGTTGTCTTTGTAGTTTTAATTTGGGGCCAATATCAGAGGCCTGGAATTGCATGAGCAGAGGCTAGAGGGCATGTAGCAGAATTTATGTGGTGTGCAGTTTGCAGTTATTGCCTTGGTCTTTTTCCCAGTTGGAAGTCCTAAGCAATAGGAGAGCACATTTGTAGGGAAAGAGTGCTGTCCTAGCATTCTCTGGGATCTTTGGGGCTTTAAAATGTGGTTCATGGCCACCGCTGTTACTTACGCAAAAGGCGAATATATGTGCTTTCTAACAAGTTGATTTGGTAACGTAGAAAATGGACTCTCTTTCTGAGAGGCATGACTGTGAGGGTTTATTGCCCTGATGCTGGTTCTCCAGCCTAGCTCTCTTTGGACTCCTTGGCAATGAAGATCAGGTTGCAGTCATTTTTCTACATGTCCTTCTTAAAATCTGTCATGTGCTCAGCAATGCCCAGGCCTTCACTCACACTCTTCCTTCAGGTTGCCAGGCCCTGCTTCTCCTGAGCAACCTGGAAAACTCAAACCTCTCTTGAATTTTTTTTTTCTCCTTCAGATTCATCACCTCCATAGAATGTGTGTTTTCCCAGCTCTGTGTACACCCTGACAATTGGCAGGGGTTGCATTGTACATGCTTGTTTCTAGGCTTGTTTTGGTGGTTTTTTTTTTTATTTGGATCCCCATTAAGAAGCTGGTCAAAGTGGTGCTTTATCTCTAATCAACTTTGTGTCCCGGCAAAGTGACTCAGCTTCTTCTTCCATAAAATGGGAATAGCAATAGTATCAATCACACAAAGCTGAAGTAAGGATAAATCACCTACTGAAATAACTCATTAGAACAATGCAAGGCACATAGAGTGTTGGCCATCATTGCTGTAAAGGTATTATGCCTGAGACATAGTAAGCACTTTGTAAATGTCAGGTTAAAATTACATGTATCACCTGCCAAGTAGTGATATGCTTGTGAACAATTAGTTTAGCAAATGCTTTTTTAATATTATGTACATAAGTGAGACAGCTGTTTCAAAGAGTGTAGCCTAAATAAATCATGGAGGATAAGAGTTTAGTTTTTCATGAAATAAAAGGTAAAATAAATAATGATAATATAAGGCAACACACAAGAAAGGCTGTGAGATGGACAAGCTTCTGGGGACCGAGAAGGGAATGCCCATCTTGGGTTGAGGAGAATGAAGGTTTACAGAGGTGTAGGCACTGGCAGTGGGCTAAGGAATACTTTACTGTGAAGATGTGTGCAGGTGTGGTTGGGCCACAAAAGCTGCCTCGAGTGACAAGGAGCTACTATCATGGGCCCTCAAGTGAGGTTCCTGGAATCCAGAAGTATCTGTATGATTCAGGCTAAATTTAGATGAAGATACTTCTGGAAAAGGAGACTTAAAACCAAAATACTACCACCTAGAATTTTGTAAGTAAATATTGTATTCTGTTAATATATATACCATATAAAGGGGTAAGGTTTGGTGGATAAGAACAAAAATAGTGCTTGTTAGAAAGTGTCAAAAGCTTACATAAAAATGGAGTTTTGCTCTAAAGAACTTAATGAGATTTGGAGAGCTGGGGGAAGACTGCTCCATACCCATTGTTGCCCTCAGCTAACCCCCCTTGAACATTAAACTTTGCACTCCACGTTCAGTGTGATGGGGGAGAGGCTGGGATAGCATTGCGCTGCTCTCAAGGTGGCGTTCCAAGTGAGACTAGAGTTCTTGCTGTTACTCTAAGGGGACTCCCTGCATAAATATCTGGGTCCTCTTGTTTTTCTCTCTTCCCATTTCCATTAGTGTTCTACACTTTCATCTCTCTTTGTACCCAATCACAATTCGCTCACTGTGTTTTTGAGGGCTTAGTATCTTCCAGAGTCCAAGAACTAGTTCGACACCAGGGAGCCCTGGTAGTTGTAGCCCTGTAGGCAGTTGGACTTCTGATCCCAAGGCTGTTCCTTTCTCATGGTTCAAACCCATCAGCAACTTCGAGGTAGAAAGATGGACAGTCCCCTGCCATGCAATTTACAGTCTCAGAAACCCATGGAAAGGCACTCATGAGTTGGTTGTGCTTGAATTCAGTGTATTCAGAGAGGAATGTAGCTGTGAACAAGACTGACAAAATCTTTGCTTTTGTGAAACTCGTTCTAGTATAGAGAAAAACAGTAAATAAACAACGAAACCCCTCTCAGATGGTAGTTTTCTATTGTGGGGAATTAGATACATTTACCCCAGAAAAAACCAAAGCAACCCTGAACTGAACCACCCCATAAGTTTCCCAAGGCGAAAATCTTTACAGATCCTCCAACAGACTGGCTGGTGGGTATGAACACTTAACCCCTGTGCCACTGGAGGTCCTGAGAATTAAGATAGTGATGTGATGCTGAGGTATAACATTAATTTAGATCAGCAGGTAAGGTTGAGTTCTGATGATGGAAAGAAAAGTCATTCAGAATGATCAAGGACAGGGTGAAAGGGAATGAACTTGGTGTGTCTGAGGAGCAGAAGGAAGCTGGGCTGGTGCTTTCACTTAAGCACGATTTGGTTTTAGTATTAAACTTAGTCACCTGTCCAACAGCTGGGCATGAAGGTAGACCCAAGGGGCTGGAGGGAGTAAGATGGAATGCTAATTTGTGTTTCCTACCAGGCAATATCCATAGCTGTGCATAATAGAAATATTTTTTTTTCCCAAGGATTTTCTGAGCTAAATGTATTTTGACTGCTTTTTGGCTCTCCTGCAATCAGATAAAATTGCATTTAACCCAGCTAAACATAAAAGTTTCACACTTTGCAAGCTTAAAAAGGCTGCCCGTTAGAAGTTCGATTTCTGTAGTAAGAAAAGAGATTTTTCCCCTAGCCAAATACACATTATCTATCCGTAACCATTCAACTCCAGGGTTTGAATGTGTTGCTCACTGCCACTGCCACTACCTCTTCTCCAGACAGCAGAGCTGGGAAACATAACTGAAACTCCAGGAGGAGGTAAAGCAAAAATAAAGAAATAATGCAGATAAAGCTGCAAAGAGCAATTGAAAGTGGAGGGGCTGTTTTGCAGAACTGATGCGCAGTGTGATCCCCAGCGGAGATGCAGAGGCTGCTGTGTTCGGATTGAGGGAGATTATAAGTCAATCAGCGTGATTTAGAGAAAAACAAACTGTGACATGGTTCATATTTTTCCCCCAGATGTTTTCCTGTTTTCTCTCACATACCAAAATTGTCCAATTAATTAAGGAAAACATCGCAGTGGACTTCTTTGATGAAGCTTTGCTGGCTGTGAGATCTGAAAGCAAGATTGTACATCTCCTGATTTTGCTTGTGTTTGCAGACTTTGTCCTCTCTGGCATTAGGATCCCCTCACATACTAATAGCCTGATTCCTATGTCCTCCATTGTTCCTCACACTGGAGCACAAAATTGGTGCAAATTAGTGATATTTTCAGCTTTGTTCCTTGTCCAGATGCTTTCCTCTGTCCTCACCTGGGAAGCGAAAAAGGCTTATTTCAAGAAAGACCCCTGCTCCCCGCCCCTCGGCCATTGCTTTGTTTCTCAGGCTGAGTCTGAATTCTCTCACACTCTGTCCAGTACACTACCTCACTCAGATGCTCCAGGGGGTGGCAGTTGATGAGATCACTTCCTCCTTTTTCCTTGAATGATAGAAGAAAGACCCTTTATGTGATGGTCACCTCTATCACCAGCTTTGTGACTTTAGCCAAGTTCATTAACAGCTCAGAATCTTTGTTATCTCCCTGTAAACACTGTGAGGATTACATGAGGGGGTGTGTGTGCATATTATTATACCCACACACACACATAGACAAAAGAGTGCAGCAGGTATGGATGGAGACGGCTGAGTCTGACTTCACAGAGAGCGGCAGTCCTCTCCGCAGTTGAGACATCCGCAGTCCAGAACTGATTACCGAATCCAGATGTGCTCTCACACCTGCTTCTCTCAACCCTGACATCTCCTAGGCCTCTTGGAGCTCATCCACAGGGTCTGATAATCTGTCACAGTGGCCACACAGTGGAACCATACTCAGGATTATAGGGTTTATTTGGGAAGTTAAACAGTTTGCATCAGGTTAGAAATGGGGTGCAGCTCTTCAGTCAGGACAGCTTCTCAGGTTTGCCTACAGGCTCCTTCTCCTTCAGCCTTGTTAATGTTGTTATCACTGTCAAGTCAGAGCCGACTCATAGCTGACGCTCCAGCAGGTTTTCAGGGACTGTTTCTTGCTGGGGAGGGGCTTCCCCATCTTTCTCACATTTGCAGCTTTAGGTCAGTGTTAAAAAGCTGGCTCAGCCCTTCCAACTGTGTCTTCCTCGCCACCTCCACCTCCCACTTCAGGCTTGGCCGAAGGCCCCCAGCCCCGGTCTGTGGAATAGCAGTGGCAGGTCAGCTCTTCTCATGCAGGAATCTCTAGCCCCGAAGAATGCATGCTGCATTGTCTGCTGCTTTCTTACTGGGAGCAAGATTCTCTGTTTCGGCTGCTGAACCTGCTCAGTTTAAACCTGATGGGATGGCAAAATTGGCCAATCTCCTCATCAATAGACTATAAACCATGTTTGTTGCATGTTCCCACCCAGACATTTGACAAATGTCAAAGGAAAGCCATTCTGAACAGTAAATCCACTATACCACTTTAGCAGAGTTTATGGAATGTTGTATGTAGCATTGCACCAGAATTTGAATGATGTGCCCAGATGAATAAGTTAAAGTTCCTGCTTTGTTTGAGGTTTTTAAGCAGTTGCCATGAATCGTTTTTTAAGTGGGGAAAACTGAGGTAGATATACCATGAGTATGTAGCAAACTCTATCATCAGACACAAGCCTATTCACTGGCCACATACTTAGAAATCTAGTCCCAGGTACATGCACTTCTCGAGACTAGAAAAGAAGGTGCTTCCTTAGTGATACCTCTTTTTCATGGCTCCTGGTTACCTGGGGGTAAAGTTCCTGAAAACACAAATTGTGCACAGAGGTAGCCTAAAGTAGTGAAAGTGCTATTTCACCTATGAAGGACCTGGTTGTACCTTTTGCTGCCACCACTCAGTAAAGTGTCATTTTAGCTTCTTGAGTATCAGGACGATACGGCTGCTGATTTCTATGTCAAAGCATTGTGTAAATCTGGTTAAATAAATACTTTTTGCTTTGTAATGCATTAAATGCATACAAATATAAGGCGTTTTTATCATGTCAATATTATTCTTGTCAAGACAGCATAAGACATTTTTTTAAATTAATAGTTTTATAAAAGCTTTGAGTTTAGTTAAGGTTTGTTTTGCCTTTAACTGAGGTCACTGTAAAAAGCACAGCATGTAATCTTTCCAGCTGACCTTTCTCCTCCTCCTTCCCCCCCCCCCCCGGCCTGACTTAAGATGACACTTTTAAAAAAAAAAAGGTGGTTTAAGAACTGCAGAGAAAGAAGTAGAAAGAGCCCTGGACTGACTGTGAGAGGGCTTAGGTTCAAGAACCAGCACGCTCCTCACGAACTTGGTCACCTTGACTTTTACTGTGTCTTCTTAAACTTTGATTTACTAGTTTTGACTCGTGGATAATGATGCCTGCCTCTTCCTTGCCTCAGTATGACTTTAAGGCACCAAAGAGATAGTGGCATGAGAGCGCAGCTTATAAACCATGGATGATGGTTTACTTTCTGTGCCTTTGAAATGACAGAGAAGTAGATACAGCGATGAGACAGTTTCTGAGATGGTTGGGTGATGTTTCTCCTCTCCTTTGGCTTCTCTGTTCCTGAAGGTGGATGGACAGGTCGTAGCACTTCTGGTGCAGAATTTGGAGCGTCTGGATGAATCTGTGAAAGAGGAGGCAGATGGTGTCCACAACACGCTGGGTAAGCAGAAGGGGCCCGCACTCCTGAGCCTCGGGCTTGTTTTAGGGCTGGTGGTTGTCTCCCCTCCTCCTCCATAACAGAGTCAACAGGAGCACGTTTTCTTTCCTTCTGCTCCTGAACCACCTTTTCTGGAATGAAGACCCTTGTGTTAATTTCCTATAACTGCCGCCTTGGTTTTGTTTGCACGTAATAAAAGCACCAAGTAGGTAACCTTCCTTGGGTAGAAATCACTGGCTTTTTCTGATAGGTCTCTGTAGGGTTAATTATTTTGTTTGTTCTTTTTATAAAATGCATATTTTCCAATTTTTAAGCCCTTTAAGTTGGTCTTTCTTCCCACTTTCCTTTAGTGGAGCTACTGCTGACTGACTAAGCAACTTATAGGACATTTCATTTGAAAGAATAATCCGTGTTTCTTTCTTTTATATATCATTTCTAGTATAGTTTATAAGGGAGTTCTGGTGGCTTAAAGGTAAGGAATTGCTCTGCCAACCCAAAGGCAGGTGGTTTAAATCCACCAGGAGAAAGATGAGCGTTCTCCTCTCATATGATTTACTGCCTCTGAAAAGCCCCTGGAGGATCAGCTGTGAGTAATTCCAACTCGGCAACACAACATAATAACAACATCATTTGCTATGTGTGCCTTGAAAAACTGCTTTGAACTTGACTGCCCCCTCAGCATGTTCTCATGTAAGTGGCTTCCTCTGCAGTCTTTTCCTCTTCTTCCTCCTCTGGTTTCCCCATTCTTGCCCTTTAAAACGTTGCCAAGCCAATCCCCTTTTACAAGGGCACTTCTGTGGCGTCCTCTTTGGCACTGATCACTGTCTAGGAAACCAGAGGTGACGTATCAGTAAGCAGAGCTTGAGACATGAACAAGGCCCAGTGGAAACAGAAATTTTGAGGAGATTAGATTTTCTTTCTGTTTTTCTGTGTTTACGACAGATTTTTCTTCTGGTTGTAGACTCTTTTCATTGAGGATTATCATAGAGGGTGAGCTGTAGTGCCCGGGGAGGAAGAGAGGAGAGAGCACAGAAGTCTGTATTTGGGAGCTGACTCTGATTGTCTACAGAACCAATTTGGCTTGGCCACACATTGGCCTGATGATGGATTTTGCTTTTAAAAGAGGGGGCAGAGGGAAGCTTATCAAGTCTTAATTGATTTTCTTTTTTAAAAGGCCTGGTGTAAAGGAAAAGGCTAGCAATCTACAGCCATGGCTTTATTCCCACTTGGTCAATTGCCAAGCTCAAGAGGTTTATATCTCTCACTGTCATTGAGTAACCGAGGTTTGTCAGACACTGTGCAAGGCACTGTTGTTGTTGTGTACTGTAGAGTCAGAACCGACGCATAGCTGACCCTCTCAACGGGTTTTCAGAGGCAGTATGAGAGGAGATTGCCCATCCTTTTGTGGAGCAACTGGTGGCCTTGAACCGTGTGCCTTCGGGATTGCAGCACAGCTTGGGTGTGGTTCTGTTCCTTAAGGTGCAGACAACTGGAAGCTTCTTGGTTTCTCAGCATAGTGACAAGAGCCAGTGAAAAGTACCATCGAGGAAAAAGGCAGGATCTCTTAATGGCTTATTGGGAGCAAGCAGCCAAATACAAAGGCAGATGAATATGAAGACAGGTGCATTTTGACAAGTGGGGAAGGGTGAAGAAGCGCTCCTCTTAGTGTGGGATGTGTGAGGGCTTGGAGAAAAGGGAAGAAATGAACTGTGGTTGATTGGAGGTAGGAATAAGGGGAAGTGGGGCTGGAAAGATAAATTCATCCAGATTATAGAAGATGAGAAGTTTAGGTTTTATTTCAGTGGACAACAGGAAACTATCCAATATTTCAGAAGAGTAAAATAAGATAAAGACAGGAAATTGAATGAGCTGATTTTCTTAGAAAATATGGCAAAGTCCTTGAGGGATTTGTGATGATCATCTCTCTCACGAAGCTCTGCTGCTGTGTTGCCAAGTCATTCTTTAAGTTGCTGTTGGCAAGACTAACGTGAGAAAGGAGAGAGGAGGAAAGTAGGAAGTGAAGTAATTTCTGCAGCCCGTCTTCCTTCAGAACCTTGGATCCTGATGTGCTCTGGGCAGTGTACTCAGAGAACACAGACCTGCGTCATCTTGGTGATGGTAATATAACCTGGGGCAAGGAGAGAGGAAGGGGCCTCAGAGAGAATGAGGGCATCTGATGGATCAGGATGCAATTGTAAATGGTTTCTTTTTTTGTAGCCCTCTTTTCTTTGGCCATGCCATCATTTTTGTTTTGTTTGTTCCTTTTCTCCAGCTTCTACCTTTTTTCCCCCAGGAGCCTTGGTGGTGCAATAGCTTTAGCACTGCAGACGGTGTTAGGTGCTATTGGGTCAGTGATCTGTGCACAGCAGGAACCTGTGTGTGTGTCCCCTCATTCAGGATGGTCTTTCCCTTCTGTGGGCATTATTTTATTCACTTGGAAAGGCAAGCTTGCCTCCTTGCATTGTCCTTGTATGATGTGGAGTAAGAGGCCTGAAAGCAGATGTATCAGGAAACAATGGCAACAGGCTTTTTGTTGTGTTTTTTCCTAAGCTTTCCGTGTCTTCAGTTGCAGATGTCCGGGACTCATCTCTGATGGGGACAAGGATGATGCCCACCCTTCTGGTTGTTCTTGTGCTGTTCCCTGTTAGCACAGAATGTGCCTCACGTACATTCCCAGTTAGGAGCATTACTTGTAAAATGTAACATAACTTGAAGTTAAAAAAAAAAGAAGCCAAAACACAACTCCCCTGTTAATCTAAAAATGACAGCACAGCATCTGGCTGGGAGGTACTCGGGGAAATTAGCAGAGGAATGCAGTGCATATTATGGGGGAGAAAGCTTGTTGCCATTAGAAACCTAGTTGTCCTCCCAAGTGACTGGTGTCTTGTCTCCCTTCTTTCAGCTATTGTGGAAAACATGGCTGAGTTCCGGCCCGAGATGTGCTCAGAGGCGGCCCAGCAGGGGCTCCTGCAGTGGCTGCTCAAGAGGCTGAAGGTAAGACTGACGGTGGGGCTACAGCAGACGTCTCTCCTCTGCATGAGACGGATCCCGGGCCATATGGTCCAGCTTGGGAATTTGGGGGTACTTCTTTTTTTCCTTGCTTTCCTTCTCTTTCTCTCTTTTCAAGGAAAAGGCTTTAAAAACAGTCTCTGGAATCTCTGAAAATAAATGTAAACCTGTAACTGCCAATAAATCCAACATTACCAAAGTAGCATATAAAGCCAAAAGTCGAGTTCCCCTCTTCTGATCCCTTCCACTCCGGCTTCTGAAGACGGCGACTTTTGGTGGTTTATCTTCCCTTTTGGAATTTTTAGTGCATATAACGAGTGTGCATGTGTGTGTATTTCCAAGCATAATTATACAGTGTTTTATTGCGTTGCTACTTTTTTTTTTCTGAACTGATGATTATCTATTGTTCATTGTATGAATGTACCAAAATTAATTTCACTTTCGTTGTTTGGTTTTTTCCAACTGTTTTCCACACTTTTTTTAAAAAAAAGGCTTTAGGGAATGTGCTTATGTGCACACTCCTTTTTCTGCACACTTGTTTGTGGTTCCTGTAAGGTAACTTCCTACGAATGAGACTGATCTCATACTGTCCAACAGGGTGAATATTGAGATTTGTGGTAGTAGTAAAACATTTTTTCTCCTGGAGGCTGATCTGAGAATGTCTGTTTCCTTTGGTTCCTAGCAACAGTGAATATTATCAAACTTTGCTTCCAATTTTGTTTATCTGATAACAGGATAATGATAATTTATTATTTTAATTTGGAATTTGAAAATCCAATAAAGTGTATTGACTTTTAGTTGTTTATTTGTCGCTTGCATAAATTCATAAGGTCATCGTGAGCTGGTGAGGAATCCATGGCAACTGACAACAGTTCATTTTTGTTGGCTTCCTTCCTCCGTCTGATTCTCTGTAGCAGTGTTCATTTACCTTCTTAGAATAGTCCTTTGACTCCTTTTAACCATGAGGGTAAATGGAGAACAAGAGAAGTAAGAGCTTTTCTTAGAATAGTTCTGTATGCTACTAAGACGTTCCTTGGGCAGGCAAGGAGTCCTAATTTTTTTTCCTATAATTATATTTTATTAATTTTCATAAACATTTACA